GGCTCATGCCACCATGCATGGCTAATTAAAAAATGTTTTTTGGAGAGATGGCGGTCTCCCTGTGTGTCCAGGCTGGTCTCAAACTCCCGGGCTCAAGTGATCCTCCCAAGAGCTGGGATTACAGGCATGAGCCACTGCCCCGGCTCCTGTATGTGTTTTTTTTTTTTTAATTATTTTTTTGAGACGGAGTCTCACTCTGTCGCCCAGGCTGGAGTGCAGTAGTGCAATCTCGGCTCACAGCAAGTTTTTTCTTTTTGAGACGGAGTCGCGCTCTGTGGCCCAGGCTGGAGTGCAGTGGTGCTATCTCGGCTCACTGCAAGCTCCGCCCCTGCAGGTTCACACCATTCTCCTGCCTCAGCCTCCCGAGTAGCTGGGACTACAGGTGCCCGCCACCATGCCCAGCTAATTTTTTGTATTTTTTAATAGAGACGGGGTTTCACCCTGTTAGCCAGGATGGTCTCAATCTCCTGACCCCGTGATCCGCCTGCCTTGGCCTTCCCAAAGTGCTGGGATTACCGGCACGAGCCACCGTGCCCAGCCTCCTGTATGATTTTTTTTTTTTTTTTTTTTGAGACAGAGTCTTGCTCTGTTGCCCAGTTTGGAGTGCAGTGGTGCAATCTTGGCTCACTGCAAGCTCCGCCTCCCGGGTTCACACCATTCTCCTGCCTCAGCCTTCCAAGCAGCTGCGACTACAGGTGCCCACCACCACACCTGGCTAAATTTTTGTATTTTTAGTGGAGATGGGGTTTCACCATGTTAGCCAGGATGGTCTCGATCTCCTGACCTCATGATCTGCCTGCCTCGGCTTCCCAAAGTGCTAGGATTACACGCATGAGCCACTGCACCCAGCCCTATATGTGTATTTTTAATGGTAACTGCAACTCATTTTATAACTCATGAATGGGTCAGACACAGTTCGCAAAATATTGCATTAGAAGAAGCCTATTAACTGTGTTGGTCAAATCTCTATTACTGATGTCTAACTCCTGACTGATTTTTATCAATTATTCAGGTGTGTTAACATCACATTAAGACATAACTATCACATAAGACGGATTCTGGAGCCAGAGTGACTAAGTTTAACTCCCATCTCTACCACTTACTATGCAGGTAACCCTGGGAAATTTATCTAACCTCTCTTGCCTCCATTTCCCCATCTGTAAATTAAGGATAACAGAAACTTAACTACTAGAATTGTTACAATTCAATGAGTTAAAACATGTAAAGCACTTAAATCACTGCCTGGCATATCATAAGTACTCAATAAATATTAGTTTGTTTTTTTTTCAGTTTACCTAACATTTTTGTTATTCTCTTGTTTCACTTCCTTGTTATTTCTGTAAACTTTTCACCATAGTCATTTTATTTTCTATATCTGATAATTCTAACATCTGAAGATCTTGATAACCTAATTTTGTTGTTTGTTTCCTTACTATCTTGGCTTGTTTCTTTATGCATTTGGTAATTTTTTTGTTGTGAAACCCTTATGACCTGGAATCAAGAATGCCTTTCCCCCAGAAACTATTTGGTCTTACTTCTGCTAAGTCTCTAGGAACACCTCTAACCCAAAAGTGCTTTAATGGATTAGGGTTTCTTAGACTGTGCAGATGGTATAAATCAAATTCCAAACCAGTATACAGGGAGGCTTATGAATTCATGAATTCAGGTTTTTAGCGAAGGCTCCTTTTTTCTACCTTGAGCCAACACCAGAAATAGACAAGTTTTCTTACAAATCCTTTCTCCTCACACTGGGGATATAGCAATGAACAAGAGAGACCAAAAAACACCTGTCTTCATAGAGCCAGAGTGAGCAAGAGGTGGAATGGCAGGAAAAGAGGCTGAAGAAACAGGCAGGTTCAGATTACGTAGGGCCTTTCAACCATGGTGAGGACTGAGGATTCAGTTCTAGGTGTGATGGGAACTAACTGGAGGGTTTTGAACAGAGGAACGACATATGTTCTAAAGGAGCACTCTGAGGTCAGGCATGATGGTTCATGCCTGTAATCCCAGCGCTTTGAGAGGCTGAGGTGGGAGGATCACTTGAACCTAGGAGATGGTACCTACAGTTCCGTCACTGCACTCCCGCCTGGGTGACAGAGCGAGATTCCATCTCAAAACCGCCTCCCAGGTTCAAGCAATTCTCCTGCCTCAGCCTCCTGAGTAGCTGGGACTACAGGTCTGTGCCACCACGCCCAGCTAATTTTTGTATTTTTAGTAGAGATGGGGTTTTGCCATGTCGGCCAGGCTGGTCTCGAACTCCTGGCCTCAGGTGATCCACCTGCCTCAGCCTCCTGAAGTGTTGGGGATTACAGGCGTGAGCCACTGTGCCTGGCCAAAATTTTTTTTTAATTAAAAAAAAAAAAAAAAGCACTCTGGCTCCTATGAGGAAAAGCAAGTGTGAGAGATGCAGAATTGAAGTAAGATAAATTATTGGTAGGCTAGAACTCTGCTGGGAGCTGTTGGTAGCTTATACTAAGATCATTGCAGAGTAAACTGTAGGAGAGATTAGGGATACATTTTGAAGGCAGGGTTTCTGATAGGTTTGATGTAGAAGTGAGTGAAAGAAAGGGAACAAGGCCAGCTAATTGAGAAGCTGAAGTGGGAAGATCTCTTGAGGACAAGAGTTCGAGACCAGCTCAGGCAACAGAGTGAGAGCCTGTCTTTAAAAAAAATAAAATAAAATAAATAAATAAATAAATAAATAAATAAATAAATAAAAGTAGAAAGTGAACAAGTATGACCCCTAGTTTTTTGGCCTGATTACTTGAGTGAATGGTGATACTATTTCCTGAGATAGGGTGGGGTACAGGAAGAACATGTTTAGGAGAAAACATTTTAGACATGCTAAGTTTTAGATGCCAGTAAGATATGGCATGACAATGGAAAATGTTAAACAAATGAGTCTCAAACTTATGAGAGAAATTTTGGCTAGAAATATAAATCTGAAAATAATCAGTATATAGACAATATAAAAGCCAAGTAACCAGATGAGATTATCTAGAGCTGTACTGTCCAATAGCCAGTAGCCACATGCGGCTCTCTACATTTTAATTAAGCAAAGTTAAGTAATATTAAAAATTCACCCCCTCTTGTAGTAGCCACATTTCAAGTGTTCAACAGCCACATATAGCTAGTGGCTTTTATATTGGATGGCAGATATAAAACGTTTTTATCATCACAGAAAAGTTCTACTGGAAGCACTGACTTAAAGCACAGAATAGAAGGAAAAAGGATAAAAGCAGTAAGAAGGAAGGAGAGACAGATGGAAAATAGGGAGAGAAAGAAGGTAGGAAGAGATCCAAGAACTGAACCCTGAGCAGTGCAAATGTAAAGGACAGAAAGATGAAGAAGAGGAGAGAAGAGAATAAAGACGAGAGTGGCAAACCAGAAAAGTACAGTAATCCTGGAGGCCGAATGAAGAAAGTATTCTCAGAAGGGAATGATTGGCTATAGATACTGTTGAGAAAAATCAAGTAAGCTGACATGTGAAAACTGAATGATATATTTGGTAAAATGGAGGTTTGTGGTAACCTTGAAAGGTGGTTTCAGAGTCATGGTGAGGGTAAAGCCCAACGGGAATGGGTTAAAGAGAGAAAGGGAGGCAAGGAAGTAAAGACAATGAACATCAGTGGTGTCTTTTCAGGTTTTGTTATAAAAGGGAACAAAGGAACAGTCTATAGGGTTCATGAAGACAAGCGACTGTTTGCTTTTGCTTTTTAAAGATGAGAGCTCTCATGGCATAACCTATTTGAAAGTTCAACACAGGGCCGGGTGCGGTGGCTCAAGCCTGTAATCCCAGCACTTTGGGAGGCCGAGACGGGAGGATCACGAGGTCAGGAGATGGAGACCATCCTGGCTAACACGGTGAAACCCCGCCTCTACTAAAAAATACAAAAAAACTAGCCGGGCAAGGTGGTGGGCGCCTGTAGTCCCAGCTACTCGGGAGGCTGAGGCAGGTGAATGGCGTGAACCCGGGAGGCGGAGCTTGCAGTGAGCTTAGATCTGGCCACTGCACTCCAGCCTGGGTGACAGAGCGAGACTCTGTCTCAAAAAAAAAAAAGTTCAACCCAGAAAAACGTTTTAGCACATCATTCAACCACAAAGCATGCAGTCACAAATTATTATATGGCTCACGCTTCAGACTTTTCACTAAATGTTCTTTGAAAGTCTAAATCAGATGACTAGCCACTAATTTCTTTTCCTTTTTCATGAGTTTAAAGAAAAAAATTGGAAAAAGGTAGATTTATCACTGACTTCCAGATTCAAAATATTTGTCAGTTTTTTTTAGACTGAGAATCTCTCAAGCTTAGGAAAATGATCTCATACAGAATCACATACTGATGAAATTTTAAAATGTGATCCTAATCTTATCCCTTTTATTTCTTTAAAAGCATTTTTTTTCACTCAAAAAGAGACATTATAGCAAGTTTCCTCGCTATAGAAATGTCAAACAAATCGGCACCTAAGGAAGGTTTCCTAAAAATAGGTTTTGCCACCAAAAAACAAAAAACAACAACAAAAAAAAAGCAAGAAAGAAAAATAAAAAGACTATCTTAGATTTTCTGAATTTAAAAAAGAAAGTCCTAAGAAAATTCACCTTGGAAATGAAATGGGGGAAAAAGAGCTAAACAGAAATCAAATATGTAAAACTATATGAGATAAAAAGGATAAACAATAACATTTAAAAATTTTGGCACCTTCACATTTATAAATTTTTGAATGAGCTTAGAGAAAGAATTTAAATGTATTTTTACAAAAGAAAAGAACAATACCATCACCATTCCTAAATTCATAAAAACTATAAAATATTGTTTTACATTTATAAATTATATATTATATATAATTATATATATTTACAGAGCTGTGTACAGCAAAAAGAGTGTAATAAGTTGAACTTCCTATGTTATATATTCTCTCTGAATATGCCAAATTTGTGATAAATAACTTTAATGTAAATATTGAGGATTAAAAAATTGGGTTTTAAAAGTCCTATTACTTACCATTCAAACTGCTATCAATTTCAGTATTTTCAGACATTATGGAGTTATTTGTGCTGTAGCTCAGACCAAGAACCATTTGAAGGTCTGAGAGATTCAGTCGTGCTGTTAGTTCACCACTTTTATCCCCAACCTACAACACAAACATTTATATTTTAGAGTAGTATTTAAAGACAAAGAATGGTGAAGATTATTTATAAATGTAGTGAACCTAAAACTGGAAGAATGAAAATAGTTTTATTAGAATTATGAGACTATGAATGAATGAAAATTTTTTTCCATTAATAGTTGTCTTAAAGAATATAGAAAGAAAAAGCAAGTTTCTAAAATATCATAATAGGACAGCTAATTGTATTCTTTTAATTCTTTAGCTCTCTAAACATTAGATTGCTCTTGCTCTCTGGGATCATACTAAGTAATAATGTAGATTATCCTGGACACATTAACTTGGTATATGAATCAAATTTCCTTAGAATATTTTATTCCCATAGTATAATAGTAATGTTTATTAAGCTAGCACCAGATATTTTGCTAGGCACTTTTAATATACATTAGCTCTGATCATTAAAACACTTTGCAAGGTAGATATTATTATTCCCATTTTGCAGATGAGAGAAATTGAGGCTCAGAAAAGGTTTCCAAGCTCAAATAGCCAGTAAGTGGCAGAACTACAAGAGGAAGCAGTCCTTAATTCTAAGAATCATGCTTTTCCTTCAATACCATGCTACTTCTCCATGTAGAGATGCGGGTAGAGTAGGGGCATATTTTAGTACTCTCCTTCCACTTACCCATGCCCAGCCTTACTTTCCTGTCTTCCTACATCAAAGACAATACAAACATAACTGTGATCTGTACCTCAAAATGCTTTGTGGGGTTCTTATGACAAGAGAATGATATATAATCAAATTTATTATTCAGCCACATGATCAATCTAGAGAAATAACAGGGTTCCCTCCCCCAACCTCTAATTTGTAAATTACAACAGCACAGACAGCATTTTTTTGTTTCATACCTCTCTTGAAATTTCCAAGTGCTTTTCAGCAAAATGCATTGCTTGATCATGATTTCCTAGTGCTGTGTATGCATTTCCTAAGCTCCAACATGCTCTTCCTTCACCAATTCTAAAATATTATTCAAAGCGAACATGCAGTTATTTGAAAAAGAGGTCCTATGTATAGAATAAAAGCTATCTAGCAGGAACTAAAGATATAAAGAAAGGTTTGGATTGGTTTGGTCTTTCATATAAAGAACATACTATCATGATATTATAGACATATTAGAATACCCAGATTAAAAAAAATAATACCCACATGATACTAAACTCATAGTCAAGTACTACAACATAGAAGACATTCTTTTAAAATATGAAAATACATTATAAAGTAATAAATCTCAAGGATAGGTATTCTGGTCCACTACCCCATTTTCCTTCTATAACAGCCCTACCAGGTAATTATTCAGTGTGTGTCTGAGCAGCAGGGAGAGAGAACTCACTACCTCTTGAGGTAGCATACTTCATTTTGAACAACTGCATCGAAAAGTTCTCTTTCATACTGAGGTAAAAAAAAAATCGATTTTCTAAAGCAAATATCACAGACTAAATGCTGGCAAATACTGTTTTTTTAATACAGTAAAACAAAATAACTGAATTAGCCACTAACATTTAAAAAGCAGATTTCATATAAAACTCAGCACTTCCAACTTTTCTTTAAAAAACAGGAAGATGTGGACACAATGGATTTTCATTCCTGCCTGGCAACAATTATTTGGAGTTGGGTAGCAGTTGCCCCCTTCACACTGGGCATTATCTCTTAAGTTTACCACAATTCCCGCACTTACATAGTTAGGAAGACTTTTTTTTTTTTTTGAGATGCAGTCTCGCTCTGTTGCCAGGCTGGAGTACAGTGGTGTGATCTCAGATCACTGCAACGTCCACCTCCTGGGTTCAAGTGATCCTCCTGCCTCAGCCTCCTGAGTAGCTGGGATTACAGGCACGCCCCCTCCCCACACGCAGCTAATTTTTGCATTTTTAGTAGATACGGGGTTACACTTACGTAGTTAGGAAGACTTTTTTTTGAGATACAGTCTCACTCTGTCGCCAGGCTGGAGTACAGTGGCGTGATCTCGGCTCACTGCAACCTCCACCTCCTGGGTTCAAGCGATTCTCCTGCCTCAGCCTCCCAAGTAGCTGGGATTACAGGCGTGCCCCACCACGCCTGGCTAATTTTTGTACTTTTTGTAAAGATGGGGTTTCTCCAGGAAGACTTCTGAAGAGGTAACTGAGTTTGGGACCTAGTCACTGATCTTGGGTCAAGGGCATATGGAACCAGACTAATCCTCTATCACAGACTAATTCTCTATCGCAGACAGTCCTCTATCACAGACTAATCCTCTATCACAGACTAGCCCTTCATACAACGATATACAGAGGATATCACTGAAAAAGAAAATTCCTTAAAAGGGATTTTAAGGTAAACACAGGAAAAGAAACAAAGGAAAAACTCTAGGGATTCAATAATGCATCTATATTTTACCTTAGTTACGGTCAAAAGATGTAAAACATACCTATCATTCAGCTCTTGAGCAATTGCTAAGTGCTTCAGATGATAATCAATGGCCTTTTCATAGTCTTGAAGCAAAGTATATGTATTTCCAAGACTGTAACAAGACTGTGCTTCTACAGCTCGGTCTTTAAGCTGTCGAGCCAACAGTAGTGTCTTCCTACAAGAAGAAATTAATTCTTACATAATGATCATTCTCAGTTTGGGCTTTAAGGATCACAAAATAAAACTCTAATTTTTCCTCTCTGCTGCTTTCTGCTGCCTTTAAATCTCTGACAGCCTAATATTCATATCCCATACTTTCTTCATTACTTTTAGACAAAATGAAAAGGCCTTTTTGAAACACAGAAAGCAGATTCAAGACAGAATAAATTTGAGAATCCTAACAATTCACCAAAGTAAAGGAGTATTGAAACATGAAATCAAGAGTTTCTAGAGGTTAACATACTATCTTTAACATTTAAAAAAAACTTTCCCTTTAGTATTGGCTTTTTTCCACATGACATCTGTTTTCAATCGTACCGTCACCTTTGCATTGTCAAAATTTAAAATATTTAGGTAAAATTCTTATGTGTAGGCTATTAGTCACCACTTAGGTAAAATTCTTATGTATAGGGCATTAGTCATCAACTCATGAAAAATACTGAATGCTGCATCCAAACATTACCCATTCTAACTGTGGTATTGTCAGTGAGAAGCTAGCATAGCAGTTAAGAGTATAGATCTTGGAGCTAGACTGGGTTTAAATCCCAACTTTGCTAATTACTAAGCTAAGGGCAAAGTATGTACACCAGTCTCTCCATATATAAAATGGGAGAAATACCTCAAAGGATTTTTGTGAGGATTAAATTAATATGTATAGATAAAAAGTGCTTAGAATAGCATCTTGTGCATAGTAGATGCTGTATAAATGTTAATATGTTATTATTATCAGTGCTTAAACCTACAGATGCTTTTGGATTCAGTAATTTAAATGGCTCTCCCATCATTTCTGCCAAATAGTGTAATTACTTAATATCACTTATAACTATATGACAAATTACTATACGGTAATGTGATAGCTTTTTCTTAAACAAACAAATCTAAAATTACATATTTAATGATGATACATTCAAATCTGTCGCCTTGGGAGGCTACCTAATTATTCTAATGCTGCCTGTCTTTTCAAATATTTTTGAAAGACTTTTGGAATTGCTCTCAGAACCTGTGACATAATGCTTTCTGGCATACCATTATTCTTTGATGGTACAGTTGATTTGTAAATGATCAGAAATCTTTCTGGAACCAAATTCAATTACTAACATAGGTTTACCAAACTACTGCTTTGTATCTGGAAGGATATGGATCTACAATGTTATGTCAGCCTTCTTGTTTGACCCTGATAACAATTCCGGGCTGGGTGTGGTTCACACCTGTAATCCCAGCACTTTGGGAGGCCGAGGTGGGTGTATCACTTGAGGTCAGGAGTTCAAGACTAGCCTGGCCAACATGGTGAAACCCCATCTCTACTAAAAATACAAAAATTAGCTGGGTATGGTGGCAGACGCCTGTAATTCCAGCTGCTCAGGAAGCTGAGGCAGGAGAATCGCTTGAACCCAGGAGGTAGGTTTCAGTGCACCAAGATTGTGCCATTGCACTCCAGCCTGGGCAACAAGAGCAAAACTCAAAACTGTGTCTTTATTTAAAAAAAAAAAAAAAAAAAAAAAAATCTAAAGAAGAGTTCTAAAAATATTTCTAACCAACAACTTGGAATATATATAAAGTTCTGAGTTCTAGCCTGCTTATAGGGAGAAAAAAAGTAAGTTTCATTACTTTATATTCATGCTTCTTTAGTCAAATAGCCACTATCCATTTTATAATAGAACCTTTCAGTATGTAACACAGGTATGCCATTTAATAATTAAGACTTCTCTATATCCCTTGGCTTTAAAACATAAGAAACTTTTATATTTAAAATCACAATATATACTCCTTCATATAGCACATAGTAATATGTTTTATTTGGGAGGCTATTTCATATCTAACTAACCTAACCAACCAACAAATATTAACCATTAGTTAATGTTTAAAGCAAAGTGGAATGCTATTCAATTTTTTTTAGATAGGCCTGAAACAATTTTACCTTTTTATGAAGATGACAAAATTATCCAGAACTGTCTCATATTGGATTCTTTAACAAAATACAAATCAATCACTGTGTCTTCAGTTTAGTCAAACTGGCTTCTACCCAAAATCTATAAGGGCCTTCAATCCCCACTAACTAGGGAAAACTCAATGTAGAAAGCACAGATCAGGCAACTTGAAGCTGTCTAAACTTTCTATCATCTATGTCTCAAATCTACTGATAAGAGACATCCTGCCACAGAAGAAGCTGGGATTGCAAACTCCTCAGGTAAGTGAATGGGGACGCAGCTTACAGTGACACAGTCAAATATGGGCAGAAAGAGGGTAAAGGGAGAACTGCTCAGTAAGAAGGTGGGAAGGTAGAGCAAAAAAATCGGTGATCACTGATAGAGACTATAAATATTTTTGTTACCAGGCTTTCTTTTGGCATCTCCTCTAACCCATAATTGAGTGAAATAAAGCATATACACAATATACACCACATATGCTAAGTAGGTTTAAAAGATATTAAAGGTTGAAAACTTCATTTAAAAACAATTACTTTTAAAGATAAAAACCAGTACTATAAAGGGGTCATACTGCTGCTATTAAATCTTAGGTACAATAATATTTATTGAGCGCTGTGTACCAGGCACTGTGCTAAGTGTTTAATATATTATTTCATTCACTCTTCACAGTATTCCCCAAAATGATGTATTGATATATTCTGTTACAGATAAGGAAATTGAGGCTTAGATGCCAAAAGTCCTGCTGCAATCAGATTTTAAACCTAAAGCCTATAAATTAATGGGATTGAATAACTATTCGTTTTACATTTATCTACAGAAATATTAGACTAACTTGTAGTAGTCTGAGGCAGTTTCAAATTCACCAAGAAATATATATGCGTTTCCAAGGTTACTATATGCTCTTCTTTCAGCCGCTTTATCTCCAAATTCTTTTGCAATCAGGAGACGCTGAAACAGAAAATTTTAATTAGATGTAGCTAAAATAAAATGGAAGAATGATCTAATCACTGTTCAGAACTTTGATGGAGGAAATGGTCTGGCTCCAAGGCCTTCCACTGTACCTGCTCATGAGCTATAACTGCATCCCTGAAATTGCCAAGGAGGTAATGTGTGTTCCCAAGATTTCCAAAGGCACGTCCTTGTGCTGCTCGGTCACCCAAAGCAGTCACTAATGATAGATTTTCCCTAAGGGATAGCAAAAAGTGACGAAAAAATAAGTTTGCAAAACAATTTTATTTATGTGATTTACATAGCTAATTCTTTTTATCAGAGAAAAATGTAAGGAAGCTTACAGCCATAATGTGCAACATTTTAAGGATGACATCAATGATGAAGAGCAATTATAGGAAATAGCTGGGAACACTTTATTAAACTATTCAGATAGGTTTCTGCCCAGGGTCAAGCACAGAGTTAATCTTGGAACCCCTATAGTTAAGTAGTTGTATGAAATTCTATTGGTAAAAGACTAAATTACTCTAAATAACAGCCCAACCATTGATATTTCTTGTTTTTGCCACTAAGTGGCACTGGTCTGCAATTTAAATGAAAGCTGCAGATTACTACTAATAACACTATAACATTTAAGCAACTGAATTGATGATTTTGCTAGTTCATAGCTTTAAAACCTTTGCCAAACTTAAAAACTTTACTACTGAATAAAGAACGTATAGCAGATCCACAGCTTAGATGGGCCTACATGATTGCCCATATCAGCCCCTACTCACTCATAAAAATCCACGGCTGCCTGCAGAGCATCTCTCACTTCTTCTGGAAATTCTCCTACATCATCCTGGGGACCAGGGTAACCAAAACTTTTCCCTTTGGCATGATACACATTCCCAAGATTGTAAAGTGCTCTTGCTTCTCCCACCTAAATGAAGACATCAGCAAAGTTTACATTTTGAAAACAGAGGTCAGATTTATCATATATATTTGTAATATCCTTAGTATTATGGACAAGGGAAAGAAATTTTTATATTGGCTCTCCATACAGAACCAATCAAATAATTACTTATAAAAGAAAGACCTCTATTTCCTTCTTTTTCTCCATTAAATTTTTTTTTCTCTTTTACTTCTATTAGTCTATCAATGTTTTCTTTTTTGGTATTAATTTTTAAATAAACTATAGAATAATTAAATAGTATTAAAATGCAAAGCCATCTGAATGAAAATATTAGACCTACCATCTAATGCTGCAGTATTACCTTGTCATTAAGCTCTCTGGAAATATCTAGGTGTCGCTGACAACAAACTATGGCTTCATCAAAATTCCCAAGAACTTTTAAGGTGTTTCCCAGATTACCACTAGCTTTCGCTTCCCCCAACTGGTCTCCAATAGTCCTGAAAAAAGCAAAAAACAAAAAAAAAATGGTATTGAAATACAAATGGTGTTAAAATATAAAGCAGCCAGAGTACAGTTTTCCAAGAGGACAAACTGACATGCTTAAGGTAAGAAAAACCCATCGGCTTTGAAACCTACTTTAAATAAATATTTAAAACTTACATTTCTGGATTCAAATGTAATTAGTTTTCATCCATTTAATTAAACTCTAGGGTCATTTCACTACTATTCATTCAATTAAACTGTGTTCAACCTAAAGGTTAGTTTTAAAAAGTGATGCTACTGAAGTAGAACTCATTAAATGTATTAAGTTAGTTTTTGTTAATTGAATAGAAATATTTTTTAATGTAATAGCTGATTTCAGAAGGAAGAATATTTAAAAGCTTAATTACCTTGCAAGAGTTAAATCATGATGGTGATATTCTAATGCTTTGGCATAATCATGCAAATAGAAATAAGCATTGCCCAGCTGGCTGTAAATAGCACTAAGTGTTTTTAGGTCTTCAGTTCCAACTTGAACTGCAGCTTCAAAGAATGACACACCAGCGCGGCAGTCTCCTGATTTACATAGACGTTCCCCTTCCAAGGCCAGCTCTAGGCAAGAAGCTTCCATTCTACAAAATTATACAGGACAGACATTTAAACATAACATTACAGCTGCATCACAGTATTTTTAACTTCCAGTAATATAATTTAAATGTAGACTATATGGCTACTCTTGTTCAGGGCAGCTGCCTCTATAACTGAAATCTATATACATTCCTGATGAAACAGTAAAACAGTTATTTGTAGCAAGAGGTAATTTGCCTACTCAAATTTCTCTGAGCCTGCTCAGAGAGGTCAGGATAGCTAAATATCTGTATGTGGAGCTCATTTTAATTGGCCCAGAGCAATCCATGTTACTAGTGAAAGAACCTATAGCAGTATTTCCCAAACAATTCTGAGTTGTAACAGACCTCTGGACTTCCTTAGAGTCTGAGGAGATGAGTATGTGGGAAAGTGAGGCCCTACAATTATTAATACTGTTCTCTACCCAGGTATCCAAGTTATCCAAGTATTCTAGTCACTTGTTCATCAACCCCTCTGACCATCCATCCATCCATCCATCCATCCCTCGCTCTCTCTCATACACACACAACACACACTCAGTCTCCTTCCTCTTCTTACCACCACATGACCACGTATACCATAGAAAAATAGAGAAACAAAATATTCTTGATCTATAAGGCACATTTTCACAAGAGAACTAAGTGTCAGGAAACTAAGTTAGAAAATAATGATTCAAAAATTTGCAGAAATACTAAGTTTGGAAGTCTGTCCCTGAATTGAAAAAGAAGGATGAAGTTACTGTAAACGTATCTGGGAGAAAAAAACACTGATACTTCGGATTCAAATCCTAAATTTTAGAGGGTGCCCCTCACCAAAATTGCCATTGTGTTTCTTCAGCATCTTCATGATTTCTGCCATATGTATGAACTACCTATTTGTTTAATTATTTCTGTAATTTGGCAAATTCCCTTTAAATTGGCACACTATCTTTATCATTGAAAAAAAATGGAGCTTCATCCAAAGCAGTACTCATGAAAGTGTGAATTTGATATGATACTTATATTTATATTCTAATATGGCAGTCTCCAACCTTTTTGGCACCAGGGGCCGGTTTTGTGGAAGACAATTTTTCCATGGATGGGTGGCAGGGGATGGTTTTGGGATGATTCAAGCACATTACATTTATTGTACACTTTATTCCTCTTGTTACTACACATTCACCATAATGTAGAATCAGTGGGAGCCCTGAGCTTGTTTTCCTGAAACTAGATGGTCCCATCTGGGTGTGATTGGAGACAGTGACATCTCATCAGGTATTAGACTCTCATAAGGAGCGTGCAATCTGGATCCCTCGAATGTGCAGTTCACAATATCGAATGCCACCACTGACAGGAGGCAGAGCCCAGGTGGAAATGCTGACTCGCCCCGCCCACCTGCAGCTTACCTCCTAACAAACAGGCCACAACAGTACTGGTCTGCGGCCCAGGGCTTGGGAATCCCTGTTCTAATACACATTAAACAAATATGTAATTATAAAACTCTAAAAGTGAGTAAAGTTACCTTATGTACCACCAGTGGCATACATATCACTCTTTGAAAAGCTCTGATTAAGCTCATGAAATGTTTTAATTTTTGGAACAGCACTAAGTTACTCCTTACTAGAATGAGCTTTGAGCCAGTGGTTCTTAATGCTGGTTGTACAACAGCAGAGCTCACCTGGAGCACTTTCTAAAACTCTCAACCCTGAACTCCACTCTCTGGGTGACGTCTGGCCATCTGTATTTTTTCAAAGCCCCAAGTAATTCTAAAGTACTAGTTAGGGTTGAGAATCAGTGCTTTTATAAGAAATGTGAATTAAACCACCACTCACCCTAATATCATTCAACTATGATTATATTCTGTATATCTAGTGGTAGATCAATTAACATGTTTTTTTGAGTGCTGTTTTTCAGTCTGTAAAATGTCAAAGGTCCTTACAGCCATAAATTAAAATGGGATTATAAAATGGAAAATATATCTGATAAAGCTAAAAGCCTGGACAAAAGTAACTGAGCCAACTGTAAAGGTTCAAAGCAGACTTCTAGTTCAGAGCAAGCAGATGTATGTAGCCAATTCCAATAGGTAATTTTCAAGTTTTCTATCTAGGTATCTTTTTCTTTCTTTTTTTCTTTTTCTTTTTTTTTTTAAGAATTCAAATGACTTAGTTAATGGCTACTGCTTGCTCATCTTCACTTTTTTTTGAGACACAGTTTCACACTGTCACTCTATAATCTCGGCTCACTACTAACCTCTGCCTCCTGGGTTCAAGTGATTCTTGTGCCTCAGTCTCCTGAGCAGCAGGGATTACAGGTGCGCACCATCATGCCTGGCTAATTTTTGTAGTTTTAGTAGAGACAGGGTTTTGCCATGTTGCTCAGGCTGATCTCAATCTCCTGACCTCAAGCAATCCACCCACCGTGGCCTCCCAAAGTGCTGGGATTACAGGTGTGAGCCACCATTCCCGGCCCCATCTTCACTTTATGGGTCTATGCAAAATAATGCAGGTAACTAACATTTTGCTACAACATTAGACTACAAGCCAATTAGATACAGGAGAGAAGATCTAAAATACATAGTAAGATAAGCGGTTAAATCAGAAGCCTTAAACAGCTATATTTATGTTTCTTTATATGTCATTTCACAATTAATAAAGCCTATTTTTGTCTTCCAAAAATGAAAATTGCCCTTTACAATTGCATTTCTGAAAATGAGAGATTTCATAAAAGAAAAAATTGAGATCTAAGATTTTATGAAGTTATTGTCATATTCTATGTATAAAGAGATATAAGTCAACAAAAGATATGTAAAAATGTGATTTTTTTCTTGAGATGGAGTCTTGCTGTGTCACTCAGGCTGGAGTGCAATGGCGCAATGTTGGCTCACTGCAACCTCTGCCTCCTGAGTTCAAGTAATTCTCCTGCCTCAGCCTCCTGAGTAGCTGGGATTATAGGCATGCGCCACCGTGCCCAGCTAATTTTTGTATTTTTAGTGGAGACGGGGTTTCATCATGTTGGCCAGGCTGGTCTCAAACTCCTGATCTCAGGAGAGCCGCCTGCCTCGGCCTCCCAAAGTGCTGGGATTATAGGCATGAGCCACCGTGCCCAGTCAAAATGTGATTTTTATTAAAGGATTATTTTGCTAGATGAAGTACCTGAGCTGATTGTCTTTGTCAAAAACTGAAACCAATGAACTTCTAAGAAATATTTTAAAAAATGGAAAATATATTTTATATGCAAAATTTTTTCCTATAAAAAGTTTTTAATTTAAGCATTCTAATTATGTTAAAATTTATATCTCAAGCATTTTCAGTGCTAGGAATTGATCTTAAGGTATACGTATACAAATTTAAGAAGATATATATGAAAGGATATTTACAGCAGCAAAAAACCACAAATGAATTAAATGTCCACCAATAGAGTACTGGGTAAAAAAAATTACACGCCACTATACAATGGAATACTAATGATGGCACATCATGTCACTGAGGGAGAGGTAGGGAAATGGTCACATGTGACAGCACCGTCAGTTCAGGATGACTGGGTTGCTGGCCAGGAAATTAGGAGTAAGGCAGAACTGGCTATTCATGTGAACAACATTTAAAAATCAGAAGTATAAAAGTGTTTTCTTATATTCATATAAAGCTAAGAACTATCTTCTTCAAATAAATAACTTCACCACAAATGACTGATCTTCTGGATTTAAGTTTACAGAACATTTTACTGGAACCATTGATCCAAATGATGTGGCATCCAATAAAACTTAGCTATAGGTTGAATGGCATCATAAGTGTTACACATTTTTTAAAAGGCATTTTACATAATTGCCATAAGAAACAATGACAGCAAACTGGAAGCTTGCTGGCTACATGGCTGTCTTTGAAGTCCATGTAGTAAGAATGCCCTACAGGAGAGACTATCTTAGAAAAGCTATTCCAGTGACTAATACCTGAAATAATGTCCAAAACTCTCTAGTTTATGATTAATTCTTAGATAGATTCGGGCTCTGTTGTATTTTATTAGAAAATAAGTTAATATTCTGGCAAAAATCTCTAACATCTGAATCAAATATAGGTTTATGCCTGCAAAATAGGGCAGGTTGGTTTATAAATTTTTTAGAAGATCATTAAATAGTAACAGAGAAAGTAATTTCATATTCTCTCTGTCTCTATGAGAGAATAGAATTACCTCCTTTGTTTACCAGTTGGGTTGAAAACAAAGAGCATACCCAGATATAGAAGAAAAACCAAGAAAATACCCCTCCATTAAAATATATCCCACATATAAAGTTTCTAGAAGACTTAATAACATCAATTTTGTCCAGATTTGACTCTTGCTTCAAGGAGCTTACATACTATTTAAGAATAAATGATGGGATTCAGGACTTAAGAGCCAAAACAAGAGTACTCTCCATTTTCTCTATTATGCTTTCCACTTCTGTGGTTGTGGAATCTTCTTTCATAGACCCTAGCTCTACCTTCTCTGTATTCTAATTGGGCATGAACCTTTTCCATCACCAGTCCTAGCCCCAATAAACAGTTTTCACCCATTCAATTTACCACATATATCTAGCTGTTCTCATTTATTTTGTAAAAGGAAAAGTGCTCAATTATATTGATTTACATTTTGTATGGTTAGATGATTAATAATATAGAATAAGAAGGAAGAAAATGATTAAAAATAAAACTTTGTAAGTTAATTTAGTCTTAAAAGTGATTTTAACCTTTATCAAACTTAATTCTCAAAATAACCCTCTGAGGTGGGGTGCAGTGGCTCATACCTGTAATCCCAGCACTTTGGGAGGCTAAGCGGGGTGGATCGCTTGAGCCCAGGAGTGCAAGACCAGCCTGGGCAACACGGCGAAACCCCATCTCTACCAAAAAAAAAAAAAAAAAAAAAAAATTAGCTGGCTGTGGTGGCATGCGCCTATAGTCCCAGCTATTCGGGAGGCTGAGGTGGGATGATAGCTTGAGCCTAGGAGGCAGAGGGTGCAGTGAGCACTCCAATAAAATAAAATAAATATAACCTTC